CCCCCAAACACACACACACCCGTCTGATGCAAAATCCCTAGATGATGCTCTGCTGCTTCCCGAAATCAGTGTCGAAGCCCCCCAGTACTATAAAGAGCCGGCATAAATTAACCTTTTCGTCGCAGTCTTTTTCAGTGGGAATTATTTCTAAGAGTTACTTGGAAAATGAACGGTCTGCTGAGCTAAATGATGCAATGTACACAGTATCCTCTCCGGAGGAAGACATGTTTCAAGATAGGCTTTAGGCAAACACTGATTGCCTTTTTTGGTAGAATATAAATCACATTCATAAAGGAATGCTTAGCAAAATAGAAATGCTCCCAAAATGATAATCAGTGGTACATTTTAATTGACCCCTAGATTATGTGCTTCCTCTAATAGAGCTAAAAATGTCCGTTTTGAAAATGGAATGAGGTTCTTGGCAAGTCTTAAATAGCAAAACCTACTATGGCTGCTCAGATGGTAGCAGGTGGAGTTGCAGAGACACTCGCTGCTTCGTGTGTCACTTGGAGGCATTTAGCCTCCTGGGAAAGTGCAGCCATTTACGTACTTCTAGCAGATCGTGAGGTCATGAGACACAGTTTAAGCTTCAAATTCACATCACACCAATTTCCTTTTTAATGACAAAGCAGTAAGTGTGAGGTAACTACATTTTATGGATGAGCAAAGTGTTTCAGATGACCCCACTCAGGGAAGTAACTGAGGCACTATGTAACTTACCTCAGAGACATAGTGTGAAAATAATGTGAAGAACTTTAATGGGAGGCTAAATAAGAATATAAAAATATATACAATATTTAAAATGTATAAAATACAAAAACATCAAAAATATGAAAATTGGGGAAAATACACAAGAAAAAAACCTTCCCTTTCAGGTCTATTTGAGGCACTTCAGAGGTTCTCTGGGATGCAGAAGGGGTCAGGTCAAGATGGGATTTTAGGTAGCAGTGGGGTCTTTCTGTCCCCTTAGCTCTCAGTAGTTACCAGGACATGGTTCAGCACTAGCTCAGAATAAATAGTACCAACTGGAAAGCTTTGCCGAAGTTGTTTCTGTGGCGTTATCAGGCATATATCCTATCCATGTAACTAGGCCCACTCAAGAAAAGCCCTTTGATGGAAGGCTCTTCCTTTGCCATATAACTTACATTAGCTTTGTACAGAAGGAAGAGGTCAAGCTTGGAGAAGCCTTTAAAAAAGCTGGGGTCCCATCAGCCTTCCTCAATCTCTGGGCCATCTTTCATGCTTTTGGAATCCAAACAGGAAAGAGATCACTGGGCCTCACTCAGCTTAGGTGAATTTCTGTAGAGATCCTGCAAAAACACAAGAGAACTGTGCTGTTCGGTGGGCTGTGGTTTGGCCTGCAGCAATATGGGTGAATTACAGAGCAGCAGCACAAAATGTGTGCCTGCTGTTCAAGAGTTGTCTTATATAATATTAATTCCATACTTGTAGTTACCCTAGACGCTCCCTGTAGCTGTTACAAGGAATAAGACAAACGATTCTGCAAGTGATGAAGAAATTAGACTGAGCTTTGCGTGCAGTTTGCACAAGAAGCATGCAAGTTCTCCACTCTGGTGTAGTCTCTTTGAGATCTTCAGCAAACCATTTACAGCTAGATCTAAAAAGAGGTGGCGATCAGCACTGCAGAGCGTCTTCAGCACCCAGCTGCACGCAGAGGGAGTGACAGTCCTAAGGTAAGGGAAAGGGCTCCCAGTGAACTTTTAGGACTTCTACATTATTCATTCACAGGAGCAGAGTCCAGAATCTAAGCCCTTCTCCCTCACGAGTGAGCCCTAATTTATTGAACCATGGAGCTATGCCTCTCTTGGGCCAATATATATTTAGGTATTTGATACAAGTTAAAACAACATCAAGAGGAAAAACTGAGTGCGGTACACCTGAGACCATACATTGATGAGGAAATCTTTGGGGAGCTATCAGTCCTCTCCCATTAGACAGGAGCAGGATTTGAACTCATTTCCCACATTCTAAGCGAGGCTACAGATCACTTGGGTGAAAGGGTGACAGCAATTCAGATGGTATCTGGAGAGAAACACTTACCATGTGTTTCTTGTGTACATCCACCTTGCATACAGCAACGTGTGCACTAATTCTAATTGGACTAATGAGAATGTCTTCCTAGAGCTTAGTAGCACAGGAAGGTACTAGCACTTCATTTCCTTCTTGTGATGCTCTTGATGGCTTAGATTCTTCCACTGTGATTGGCTCAAGGAGAACCAGAGATTGAGTTGTACCTCATAAAGAGGGATTTAATCAACGATAACTTTATTGGCATTAGAAATTCCCAAGTGTAACGGATGGAGGGGTCGCCTGTGTGGCTGACTGGCATTACTCTGTTATATGGTTTTACTCTGTTAAATGGTAAGCAAGAGGTAAGTTCCTACTAAGATTCAACAAGAGCCAACTACTTTAGAAACAAAACTTAGCCAACTTACCTAAGGCTCTCTGAATTTATGTAACAGCACGTTATTCTAAAGCTTTTAATTTCACGAACATATAGCTGAATGAATGATGGGAAATAGGCTTTCAACCTCTAAAATAAGTCCTTTTATATGTTTTTTTTTCTTCTGTCACTCACTCATCTTTATTTACCCTGTCCCATTTATAGCAAACAGTCCCTCTCCAGTCTGAATTGCAACTAAACAACATATAACATCATTTTGGACCCTCAAACAAGAACATTAGGGTTTACTCACTTCCACTTTGCATTTAAGTGTATCACAACATACTGAGGATCTGGGCCAAAGGAAAAGCAAACTGTTTACAAAAATAAAACAGCGCTGATTTTGCTCTCAAACACTTGACAAAAGGAAAGAAATATAAAAAGGATTTTGGGACAAGGAGGAAATGGAAATTCAACAGTAGTAGGAAGGGGCACATTTGTGTTATACAAATGCAAGTTATTATACAGTTAAGGAAGGAAAATATCAGTTGCAACTGATATATTTTAGGCATGCAGAATGAGTAAAGACAGACTCTCTGCTTTAGAAGGACCTGATCTTTTGAACTAGCAGCATACAAATACTTAGAGCCCTGACACTGAGTTCCTCCACTATTACAATCCTTACAAATATGTTATTGAGTGAGACTACTCTATTAGCAAATATGTTTGGTGGCAGGAACTTCTAGGATTGGATAAAATATGATTACGTGGACTGCATGCATGCCAACTTTAAAAGAAATATTCTGGGCCTGAATTTAATTTCAGTCTAATTTAAGAATAATTCAAATTAATAGATTTAAATAACAAAGTTACAGCATAAAACCAATATGCCCTTCTTAAGATCACTGATTTCACTAGAGCTATTCCTCATTTACACAGGAAAATTAAAGGGAGGATCAGGTTAGAGCTTCAGAAGACTTAGAAATAAAAAGGAAATCTAAAAATGAAAAGAAGAAATGGGGCTTCTGAAAAATATGGTCATAAACTAAAAACCGTTGGAGACAATGAGCATTATGAAATATGTCATAACACATTTCTAATAACATGTTTTCAAGTTTCATGATTCATAAAGTAAAACCTTGATGAGTTATCCTACATGTCAAAAGTATGTTTTAGAGGTTATTTAAAAATATTCGGAGCACGCTTCTGAGAGCAGCATAGTTTTAGTTTTCCTTATGTGTCACACTGCTCACCTGAAGTGTGTAGTAATCAGCACTACCAGGCAGTCTGGCCTATCTTATTTCTAATTATGCTTGTGGCTTTTGGGGTTCTGTAGACTGTGTGGCTAATCTGAGCTTCATTTTCATAGCTGAGAAAGACAAAACTTGCCATGGAAATGCAAACTCCCTCTGGTCTACTGGAAGTTCATTTTCACGGTAAAAAGCCTACAAGACTCTAAGAGAAAGAAATTGGCTATTCCTGAAAGAAGTTCTGCTGTTTGTTACCTGACTGATTCTCTTCATTGTATTCAAAGTATATCATGACTATATTCACTTACAGATGAAATT